ACCTTTCTCTCTATCTCTTTCTCTCTCACTGTCTAACTTTGTCAAAAAAAAATTGTTGCTATCAGCAATATATGATCTTGGCAAAGAAAAAACTGAACAGCTACAATTTTCCTCCACCAAATATTTGTTAACTTATTATTAAACTTACCAAATTGAACACAACTGAATCAATATTCTAAGGGAAAAATTCAAATTAAAGAAGACATTTATATTCTATTAAATTTGTTGGTTTATGAACAAAGAAATGCCTCTTGTCAATAAGAGCTATTTTTGAAGACCCTCCTCCAGAAAAAAAAAAAATAACCATGAACTGGAATTCTAGATTTGGTAGCGTTGATTGCATGAGAGATGAATATACAGCACTTATTTACAAGAGCCAAACTGAACAGAATTTATGATTGAATCCATTTGCTAAGGATTTAAGAAAATAAATGCTCACATAACTGCTGTATCTTAGATATTTCTAGAAAATGCTAGAATTGAATACATCTATAAATAATAAAAACTAAATGATGGAACATCAGTCAATTTTATGGTGGGATTTACAATATGTGGAAAGAACTAACTAATTCCTTGGAAGGCTGGGGGATGGATACAGAAAGGTATGCACAGTTAAATCACTGATCCTAAGGGGAAAATTGTGCTTCAATTAGTTCTCTTTTGCTAAGATGAAATGAAAATTAAAAGCAGATGTAAAAACTGCAACCACATGATATCTCTCACAAGACAGTAATAGCAATAATATGCCATTTTTTCTTTTGAATGTGACTACATGTTTTGTTTCACACCAAGGAAATCAGTTATGTAAAAGCCATATGCTGCTTTTAAAACATTGCCATAAAGTTAAATGCCAGGCCAGGCCATCTATATGAGAACATTATTATCAGCAAGCTCATAAGGAAAGATTTCTAATCTGCCCCTTTCACAATGACCAACACTTCCTTAATCTCCAAGCCACATTTCTGGAGTCCCTCAAACTATTCTACCTTTAGCAGCTCACGTTTCTGTGACTACCAATTTAGCACCTTCTAGTAACCACTGATGAAGACGTCACAAAGTTTGTGTGCTTCACCTCATTCACAAAACTATTTTCTTGACAATGCAAGGTGGAGTGGCGGGTGCTGTGGCAAACTGGAGAATCTGGGCCCCATAGAAAGCAGCAGCTGCTACACAGCTCAGTCCAATAGAACAGCTACAAAGTAAGGGTTCAGTCCTAATGTTGTGATATTTTCTCATTTTTTTCAAGAGAAACTGGATATTTGGATTTTTATAGAAATTTGCCTAATTTTTACATAGTGCCTTTTTTTGTTGTTTACATAGTGTCTTAAAAATATTTATACCCTTAATGAGTTAAAGGAAATCTATCTGTGAGCTGAGTTTGCCCTGCAGGCCAACAGTCTCTAGCCTCCTGCTATATTGTGGGTTTCTGCCTCCTTCTCCAGCTCTTCTTCCTCCTCCTGCCCCTCTCATATGAAAATGGATTTTCTTGATAATCTTTCCAGATGTGCTGTCTCTCCTCTGTACCACCACTATGGCACTTACCTATGCTGTCTTATACCAGTTACTTTTGTACACTCCTAGGAAATAAGTTCCTTAAATCACATATTCTTATAATAGTGTCATTGATTGAGTTCTGTGTCAGATATTATGGTAATGACTTTACGTATATTAACCAAGCTATTCCTCACAAGGAACCTAAAGAATGTGACTATTTTAAAACGAGTAAACTGAGGTTCAGAGAGCTTCTAACTAATGCCCAATTCCATAAATCTAGCAAATGGCAAAGACAAAAGTTGAAGTTCGGCTTTTTTTACTCCAAAGTTATATACCTTAAGGCCCTTGTAATTCTTGATATACAGTTAGAACTCAATAAATTAGTAATTATTGAAGTAATTATTTTAACACAGAAATTATATTCCCCTTAAAAGATATTCTTCAAGAGCATAGGAAGAAATTACTAATAATTTGAAGAAGGATGAAAAATACAAATAAAATGAATATGCACCATAAATATTTGCAGTTCAGCAAATGATTGGAGCCATTCATCAACTAAGTAGATAAGGGAATCTACTCAAGATACTTTTCAGTGTACTTATTCAAAAGGTATTCCAAAGATAATATCCATAAAATTATTTGCCATGTTAGCATTTCTGCCTTGAAAACCCAATGTGAAATTTCTGGCACTGGTTAGAAATGAGGAAATGCCAAGTAGAAATTGAGTAATAGCTCAAAAGATATTCTTTTTCGCATGCAAGAAGTATCAATTATTTCTTTCAACAACTATGATGTTCTATTTCTGCTTTTGTATTCAGTGAGAGTCCAAAACACGCTTTTCTCTTTGCTTTGTTCAATATATGTCATTTCACTTAATAATATATAATCTTAGTATGTAACAACAAAATAATGGACTGGTTTTCTCTTTCATTATTTTTCAAATATTTCATCTGAACCATAAATGTGAACTCTGAAAATATGATTTAAATAATGAAGATAGAGGCCGGCGCCGCGGCTCACTAGGCTAATCCTCCGCCTAGCGGCGCCGGCACACCGGGTTCTAGTCCCGGTCGGGGCGCCGGATTCTGTCCCGGTTGTCCCTCTTCCAAGCCAGCCCTCTGCTGTGGCCAGGGAGTGCAGTGGAGGATGGCCCAGGTGCTTGGGCCCTGCACCCCATGGGAGACCAGGAAAAGCACCTGGCTCCTGGCTTCTGCCATCGGATCAGCGTGGTGTGCCGGCCGCAGCGCGCCGGCCGCGGCGGCCATTGGAGGGTGAACCAACGGCAAAGGAAGACCTTTCTCTCTGTCTCTCTCTCTCACTGTCCACTCTGCCTGTCAAAAAAAAAAAAAAATGATGATAGAATCTAAAAAAATTCATACTTTATTTGAAGTTCTAATGGTTAAATGGCTGAACAAATCCATAAATTCTCAGTCTCTCTTTCAATAATAACATTTTTGACAGTCACAAAGAATACATTTTCTATCTTTAAAACCATTATTCCACTATGGGATCTCAGTTACTCTTAAAATCTAGCAACAAGAGAAAATCAGCTGAAACATGAAAAGAACAAAGAATATCCCTGAACCATTTTGTCACTCCATCTTGATCTCCTTCTTTTGAGATAACAGAACCCAGAACATAAACAAACTACTATAACTGGTGTCAAAGTCCTGGGGTACACTGTGGTGGGAATGAAGATTCCAATTCTGCTTTCCTTGAACAGTGATCCCAATCCAGGTATTAGTGGTGGGGAGACTACCAACACCACTGTTGTCTCAGGGGGCCGGAAGCTGTGCCTGGAGCTCAGAAACACATCCCAAGGAAATTGAGCAGGCTCCACGAAGGTGTTTGGCCAGTCACCAACTCATTCTTTGGGGCATCTTGACTCTGCTCTTTTCCCCAGAGGTAGCTTCAACTGGTCTAACGCCAGATCCTTCACCTTCACTTGGTAGCTTGTAAAAAGGACTTACTATAAGTCAGAATTATTACCTATAGGCTACAGATAGTTAAATCTTTTGAAGGACCAAGGAAATCACAGCCATCTACAAGTATACAGAAAATGATCTGGTGAAACTCTTAGTAAGTTAGTAAAGGGTCCTGAGATAACGAAAGACCAGACATTTTCTCTTCAGACCAATACCCAACCCTGAGCTAGATCCCAGGAAGGGAGAGAATTTTGTTTTCCAAAGCTGCTACTGTTCCCTGAAGTGCCATACACCTCTACCAGCTTTGTAAAAGAATATTTGAAGGTTGGGCCAGTGTTGTGGTGCCACAGGTTAAGCCACCACCTGCAATGCAAGCATCTTATCTCAGAGTGCCAGTTTGAGTCCCAGCTGCTCCACTTCCAATCCAGCTCTCTGCTAATGCACATGGGAAGGCAGCAGATGATAGCCCAACTACTTAAGCCCCTGCCATCCACATGGGAGACCAGAATGAAGTTTCAGGCCTGGCCCAGCCCTGGATATTGCAGCCATTTGGGGAGTGAGCCAGAAGATGGAAAGACTTCTGTCCATCTCTTCCTCTCTCTCTGATCCTCTGCCTTGGGGGGAATTAGGCACAGGAGGCAATTCAAAGATGGCACCCAAAGGAAGTAAGGTTGGCAGTACCGAAAAATCGTTTACCACCAAAGCTGATTGGCTGCACAGCATCAGGGGAGGTGACAACTGATGATGAGTATACAGACATATGGCTGGTCCTGTAAAAAGTCACCCTGTAAAATGACCTTTTAAGTAATTGGTTGGTCCTTATGCCCTGCCCCAGTAATCCTGCGGTCTTGTGCTTTAAAAGGCTTTGCTACACATGCAATAAACCAAGTTCTTGCTTGCTTGACTTGACTCCCTGCTGCGTCTGACTGTCTCCGGGATCGGAAGGCTGGGGAATGGGCGAGTGGCGCACTTACCTTTCTTCGGACCCAGTCCATCCCTGTTCGGGTGGACTAAGACCCTGCACGCCTTTCAAATAAATAAATAAATATTAAAAGCATCTGCTGTCCTTATTTTAAAAAGAGTATTTGAAGGAACCACTGAGATAAGAAACACATTCATTTCAAACCCTTCACAGGAGAGAAGTCATTAATACAGTGTACATCCCTGCTTGATTCAAGGTACTAGAAGAATGTGGCAGAGTATGGAATAATCGGTTGCTACTGCTAATACCTAAGGGCCAGAGTAATAAAAAGAAAAAGATCCTCAAAGGACTACGTGTGTACTATGTCAATTGTCTTCTTTCTCTCTTCTTATGATCAAGAACTAGGTTAAACCACAGAGATTTAATACTATAAATATTTCCTCATTGACTCCCATTGTAGCAAATTACCAAATGAAAGAAAAATGGGTATAAAATAAATCAAAGGAAAATACACATTGTTATGGAAACTATACTTATTACAGTTGCAGTCATAGAGAAAGCAATTTAGAAGAAACCTCTTTATTGAACAGATTGTGAAATTATGTGAATTAGTTTTAACCCACACTGCCCTGAAATATTTAATCCTGAGGTAAACATACCTGCTCATTCTGACTGTCAGGTCTTGCGAAGAAGCTGGGCATGGTCGGAGAGGTTGCAGAAAGTTCTTGGAGCTTTGTATTGATTTCAGCAAGTTGTGCGTGCTGGGTGGGAGCTAGTGTGTATCCATCTCCTGCAACCAGCCAGCCACACTGATCACCCTAAGTGGACACAAGGGTCACCAGGTCATTCTCATGCTACCTTTATTCCAAAACAGACCTTTTAGACTGCAATTTCAGCACTCAGGATTTCATAAAAGTAAATAAACAAAGTCAAAAAATATAATGCTGAAAAAGTCAAAGAAAAAAGTGAAATCATTTAGGAGTCTGTTGTCTACCAACCCTGTATATAAAGTATCTTCAAATATTTTGTGGATCTTTTTCCTTTGTGGAATAAATCTCTTAGCTTCACAGTCTGATTCCCATAATATTCTCATTTCCTTACTTTAAAAAAATCAGTTTGTGATATGTTGAATAAAAATAAATCAGGTTTAAAGTGATCCCTGTTAAATATAAGAGTGGGAATAAGAGAGGGAAGAGATGTACAATTTGGGACATACTCAAGCTGACTTACCCCAAACGGTAGATTTAGAAACATACCAAGGGATTCCATTCAATCCCATCAAGGTGGCATGTACCATTGCCATCTCACTAGTCCATTTGATCAATTTCTGTTCACAACTGATCATAATGATAGGACTAAGAATCAAAGGGATCACATAAACAAGACTAGTGTCTGAAAATACTAACTGATAGAGCAAAAAGGGGAGAGAACAATCCAACATGGGAAACGAGATGCACAGCAGACTCATAGAATGGCGGATGTCCTAAACAGCACTCTGGCCTCAGAATCAGCCCTTAAGGCATTTGCATCTGGCTGAAAAGCCCATGACAGTATTTCAGGCATGGAAAGCCAAGACACTCTGGAAAAAAAAAAAAAAACTAAATGAAAGATCTCCGGGAGTGAGATCCCAGTGAAAAGAACAGGTCATCAAAGAAGGAGGTACCTTTCTCTGAAGGGAGAAGAGAACTTCCACTTTGACTACGACCTTGTCTAAATATGATCAGAGTCGGTGAATTCAAAAGGCTTCCATAGCCTTGGAAACTCATGACAAGAGCCTGGGGTGATTACTGATGCCATAAACAAGAGTGTCAATTTGTTAAGTCAACAACAGGAGTCACTGTGCTCTTGCTACTCATGTAGGATCTCTGTCCTTAATGTGCTGTACATTGTGATTTAATGCTATAACTAGTACTCAAACAGTATTTTTCACTTTGTGTTGCTATGTGGGTGCAAACTGTTGAAATCTTTACTTAATGTATACTAAACTGATCTTCTGTATATAAAGAGAATTGAAAATGAATCATGATATGAATGGAAGGGGAGAGAGAGCGGGAAAGGGGAGGGTTGCGGGTGGGAGGGAAGTTATGGGGGGGGAAGCCATTGTAATCCCTAAGCTGTACTTTGGAAATTTATATACATTAAATAAAAGTTTAAAAAAAATCAGGTTTTCTCTATAATGGAACAGCTTTTTCCCCATATATTTTTATTAATATAAAGAAAACAGATTTCATATATTTCATAGGTACAATTATAAGAAGATAACAATACTTCCTTTCTTCCCTTCTTCTCCCCCTACCTTAATCCCCCTTCTTTTTCTTTCATTTTTTTCAAAGACATAATTTCAATCCTGTCTATAATAACAGGCTTAACGTATAATATTCCATAATATTCATAATATTCAACAAGTAAAAGGTAGAAATACCACAGTTCCACAGGAGTATAAACAAAGGCTAAAAACAACCACCAAAATCACAAGATGTCCATTTCATTCCTAGATTTTTTTTGTATTCTATATTAAATACTACATATCTGATAAAACATGATATTTCTCTTTTTGTAACTAGTTTGTTTCACTAAGCATAATGGTTTCCAGTTGCATCCATTTTATTGCAAAAGACATTAGTTCATTATTTTTTAAGGATGTGTAGTATTCCACATTTGTATATATCACATTTTCACCAGTTGATGGACATCTAGGTTGATTCCATAGCTTAGCTATTATGAGTTGAGCTGTAATAAACATTAGGGAACAGATAAATCTTTCATATGCAGATTTCTTTTCCTTTAGATAAATTCCTAGGAGTTGGATGGTTGGATCGTATGGTAGATATATTTTCAGCTTTCTGAGGAATCTCCATTCTGTCTTCCTAATGGTCATACTATTTTACATTCCCACCAACCGTGTATTAGGGTACCTTTTTTCCTACATCCTCATCTAAATGCCTTAATGGCTGATTCTGAGGCCAGAGTGCTGTTTAGGGAATTTGCCATTCTATGAGTCTACTGTGTATCCTTTTGACACTTATGTGATCCTTTTGACACTTAATCCTATTTTTATGATCAGTTATGAACTTACACTGATAACTTTTAACTAGTAAGGTGGCATTGGTACTTGCCAACTTAATGGGATTTGAAGTCCCATGGTAAGTTTTTAGCTTAACCCTTAGGGGTAAGTCCAAGGGAACATGTGCCAAACTGAACATCTCCTCCCTCTCTTATTCCCACTCTTATATTTAACAGGGTCAATTTTCAATTGGATTTAAACACCTAAGAATAATTCTGTGTTAATTAAAGAGCTCAACCGATGGTATTACATAGAAAAAGAAAATACTAAAAAGAATAAAATAGTAAGCTGTTCCTCGACAGTCAGGACAAGGGCTGATCAAGTCATTGCTTCTCACAGTGTCAGTTTCACTTCTACAGGTTTCCTTGTAGGTGCTCAGTTAGTTATCACAGATCAGGGAGAACCTGATATTTGTCCCTTTGGGACTGGCTTATTTTACTTAGCATGATGTTTTCCAGATTCCTCCATTTTGTTGCAAATGACCAGATTTCATTTTTTTTACCACTTTGTGGTATTTCATAGAGTACATATCCCATCATTTCTTTATCCAGTCTTCCGTTGATGGGCATTTAGGTTGATTCCATGTCTTAGCTATTGTGAATTGAGCTGCACTAAACATTGAGGTGCAGATAGCTCTTTTATTTGCCAATTTAATTTCCCTTGGGTAAATTCTGAGCAGTGGGATGTCTGGGTCGTGTGGTAGGGCTATATTCAGGTTTCTGAGGAATCTCCCAGCTGTCTTCCATAGTGACTTTACCAGTTTGCATTCCCACCAACAGTGGATTAGTGTGCCTTTTTCCCCACATCCTCGCCACCATCTGTTGTTAGTTGATTTCTGTATGTAAGCCATTCTAAAAAGCACTGGAGCTTAAAGAATATGTTAGATAAATTCATTAGTAGGGGGGCCGGCACTGTGGCATAATGGTCTGAGCCTCCACCTGTAGCACTGCCAGCACTAGTTCGTATCCTAGCTGCTCCTCTTCTGACCCAGCTCTCTGGTACGGCCTAGGAAAGGAGTGGAAGACAGCCCCAGTACTTGGGCCCCTACACCCATGATGAGTACCTGGAGGAAGCTCCTGGATCCTGGCTTCAGATTGGCCCAGCTCTGGCCATTGCAGCCATTTGGGAAATGAGCTAGTGGATGGAAGTCCTTTCTGTCTCTCCCTTTCTCTGTAACTCTACCTCTCAAATAAATAAAAAACATCTTTAAGAAATTCAATAACAAGTTAAATGTTTCATGCACTATACAATTACAAAAAGAAATTATATAGAATAGATAGTAGAAGGTTTTATTTTGTTTAATTATTATTATTATCATTATCATTATTATTTTGGCTAGTACCTTCTATATTCCCTTGCTATGTGTAGGAAATTTCTAGCTTTTAATCCTTGCCTTCCCAAGACATATGAAGAAAACGCTCTTCAATAGTCTTTAAAGCTAGGGTTCAGGCAGGGCCAAGCAATCAGACTCACCCCTTCAATACTAACATATGTGAGTAATCTGAGATCTGATGCAGAACTTATTTTGTTGGCAAGGGTGACAGTGGAGACATTAGTTCCAAGTGTGGATTTCTAACACAGAGGAAAATCTTTTTAAGATTCTAAGCAAGCATCCTAGAGAGAATCAAGAGAACATAACATCCTTAATACTAAACTTGACATAATAAAGAACTGGAGAATAAGAATTCTGAGGAATTAGAACAAAATTATCATTTCAGCCATCCTTTATTTATTTATTTGAAACGCATAGTTACAGAGAGGCAGAGGCACAGAAAGAGAGAGAGAGAGAGAGAGAGGTCTTCCATCTGCTGATTCACTCCCCAAATGGCAGCAACAGCCAGAGCTGAGTTGATGCAAAGCCAGGAGCTTCTTCCAGGTCTCCCACACGGGTGCAGGGGCCCAAGGACTTGGGCCATCCTCATTGCTGTACCAGGCCATAAGAGAGAGCTGGATTGAAGTGGAGCAGCTGGGACTTGAACCAGCACCCAAATGGGATGCCTGCACTGCAGGCAGTGGCTTTACCCACTACACCAGAGCAGGCAGTGGCCTTACCCACTATGCCACAGTGCTGCACCCTCCATTCATCGTTTTTAAGTTGTGCAGGCAATTGTCAAAGATGAGGTTTCTGGGCATATAAGAAAAGGAACATCTGAAAATGCAGAGATTTGAAAGAGCATGGAGAAGTTGAGGAATGGCAAGAAGTTTGAGGTCTGAGACTGCAAGTAAATCAGTTCCTTCCTTCAAGTTTCCCTAAATTCTTCTCAATGCACTCATTATCTTCCTCCTGTGATCTGCTGTTCTAATACGTGCCATCATTGAGCTAGCCTTATATCATTTCTGTATATTACATGTATCTTCCTTATCAGCTAATTAAAGGACTTGTTAAAAGGACTTTCATCAGACCGGCGCTGTGGCTCAATAGGCTAATCCTCCGCCTGCGGCGCCAGCACATGGAGTTTTAGTCCCGCATTCTGTCCCGGTTGCTCCTCTTCCAGTCCAGCTCTCTGCTGTGGCCCGGGAGTGCAGAGGAGGATGGCCCAAGTGCTTGGGCCCTGCACCCGCATGGGAGACCAGGAGAAACACCTAGGTCCTGGCTTCAGATGGGCACGGTGCGCCAGTCACAGCATGCCGGCTGCAGTGGCCACTGGGGGGTGAACCAACAGTAAAGGAAGACCTTTCTCTCTGTCTCTCTCTCTCACTGTCCACCCTGCCTGTAAAGAAAAAAAGAAAGGACTTTCATCAAATAGATCTACATGGCTAAGCAGCAGGAGAGACATAGTTAACTCAACTTGGAAAACTGCAAAATGAGCTCATATGAACAAAATGCACAAAAGATGAACATTAATAGAATAAAATGTCCTAAGACCTGGAAAAGCAATCCAGGAGGTCCTCCAGGCAGGTCCTCCACCTGATCCTCCTCCTGATTCCCTTTTTCCTTGCCTACCTTTGCTATAAAAACTAGAAGGTAAGATAACCAAATACTCCTCACTTGCAGACACATACAAAACAGCTATGTGACAGCTTAGCAATGAGATGCAGGTGGAATTTCTGAGATACCTCCTCAGAAGAGGCAAAGCCTCAGAGAAGTGTGTCTTTGCCCTTTACTCTTTAGTTCTGCCTAGAAAACTTGGCTACAGGCACAGCGGCAATCTTGCAAACCTAGAAACAAAAGCCACACTAAGAATGTGGAGCAAGAAGACAGGAAGACACTAGCTGCTTACTCCTGAACTTCTTGTTACTGGAGAAAAATTAACTTATTATTGGTTTATCCACTGTTAATAAAGTTATCTGTTACTTGTAGCCAATCACATTCTCAGCTGATACTCCACTTTACAGGTATCCCAGAGAGAAAAGAGATGAGAGAAGGGAGAAAAATATTATGATTTCTTGAAGAAACAGTGAGCCTTCAGACTGAGAAGGCCTTCAAGGCACCAAGCAACAACAATGCTTTTAAAGTCACACATAATCTGATAAAACTTATGAATCTTGGGGCCGGCGCCATGGCTCACTTGGTTAATCCTCCGCCTGCAGCGCTGGCATCCCATATGGGCGCCGGGTTCTAGTTCCAGTTGCTCCTCTTCCAGCTGAGCTCTCTGCTGTGACCCGGGAAGGCAGTGGAGGATGGCCCAACTGCTTGGGCCCCTGCACCCGCATGGGAGACCAGGAGGAAGCACCTGGCTCCTGGCTGCAGACCACAGTAGTTCCAGCCATCGCGGCCATTTTGGGGGTGAACCAATGGAACGAAGATCTTTTTCTCTGTCTCTCTCTTACTGTCTATTTGTCAAATAAATAAATAAAACTTGGCCGGCGCCTTGGCTCACTAGGCTAATCCTCCGCCCTGCGGCGCAGGCACAACGGGTTCTAGTCCCGGTCGGGGCACCGGATTCTGTCCTGGTTGCCCCTCTTCCAGGCCAGCCCTCTGCTGTGGCCAGGGAGTGCAGTGGAGGATGGCCCAAGTGCTTGGGCCCTGCACCCCACAGGAGACCAGGATAAGTACCTGGCTCCTGCCATCGGATCAGCGCGGTGCGCTGGCCGCAGCACGCCGGCCGCGGAGGCCATTGGAGGGTGAACCAACGGACAAGGAAGACCTTTCTCTCTGTCTCTCTCTCTCACTGTCCACTCTGCCTGTCAAAAAAAAAAAAATTGTGAATCTTCCTAAACACAAAAATCCTGCATGCTTCCAGAAAGAAAGAATTCTGCACTTAGAAGTTAGTTACCACCCAAGCTATCATTCAAATGAAGGAAAAATAAATTTTAGAATATACAAACACTCAAAATTATCCCCATAATAATTTTCTTTTGGAGGAATTTTTCTCAAAAAAAATCCAGAAAAATAATGCAAAAAATTATTTATGTAAATAGTGATCAGAGTACAAATAGACAGTTAATGATATCACTAAAAATGTGCACTGAATTTGATTGAGAAAGATTGCTAATGTACAAGAAATACACTGATCTCAAGGTAAAATTATATAATATTCTGGAATTAAAATTCAAGATGATTTCAATATATCCCAGAGGAAAGAAAACAGGAAATAAAAGTATAATAAAAATTCAGCCTTCTTAAGGTATGGAACTTTAGAAACTAATTATTGAAGTTGAAAAGACAACATATGTTTTAAGGTATTAAAGAACTTGATGGTTAACAGTAGCAAATCAGATATAGGATACTGAAATTCAAACTACAAGAGGATATGGAGATAAAGTGAAGAAAACAGAACAAATATGATGAATAAAATATAAAATCTGATGGCAGGAAACAGACCAAAAATTAGTGGCTATAATAATCATGAACAAATTAAAAATCTTCATTAAAATGTAAATAATAGGAAATAATAACAAAAAATTTAAAGATAAAATCAACAACAATCCAGCAACAAGGTATTTATGAAAAATCTCTAAAATATAACAAAACTTAAAATAAACATACACATCGCTTCTTGGCCTTTTGGCTAAGATCCAGTGTAAAGTAAAGGTACAAGAAATAAATGCTAACAAAAATAATATACAAAAGGCAATATTAACAATTCACTGGTTTTTTAATAAATATTTTATTCATTTATTTGAGAAGTAGAGTTACAGACAGTGAGAGAGAGACACAAAAAAAGGTCTTCCATCCACTGGTTCACTCCCCAAATGGCTCCCAACCACCCAGAGCTGTACCTATCTGAAGCCAGGAGCCAGGAGGCTCCTCTGGGCCCCCCATGCATGTGCAGAGACCCAAGGACTTGGGTCATCTGCTACTGCTTTCCCAGGCCATAGCAGAGAGCTGGATCGGAAGTGGAGCAGCAGGGACTAGAATCGACACCCATATGGGATACCAGTGCCATAGGCAGAGGATTAACCTGCTACACCACAGCACCAGCCCCAAAAATTCAGTTAAAGCTTTTCTAGAATGTTTAAAGAAGAGTTATCATGCCATGGCTTGATATCCGGAGACTCAGGGAGTAGTACCTTGCCCAATTTCACAATCAATAATAAAACTAGGTCCCTTAAATCTTGTTGTCATCAGAACTTTTGTTAATAAAATAAGCAAACTGCCATAGATAAATCAAGCTAAACTATCTCAGAATGATGTGGTCATTTAGCAGCTTGCCTTACCTCACTCTTGTCCCTACTTCATCCATAATAACACCTCATCCATTCCCAAACAGTCCCCGCAGGTCTCTGCCCATCTCAGCAAACATTATTCAGAGGTCATAATCTGCAACAGTCTGTAGACTTGGTACATATGTTGGGGTGCTTGTGTTTAGTCTCATGAAACTTTTTTAAATGGCATTTATTCTCAACAATTAAATAGGATAATACTTCTCATAAGAATCTGGATTTCCAGCTTCTCTTGAGAAACTGAAGGATCTGGGCATTCCAGAGAGGTGGTTTCCACCAGCAGCCAGCAGCTGATGTTGTGCTGGCTGCCACTGAACACACATCCTCCCACGCAGGTCACAGGTATCAATGCACATGCATCACTTCTGGTGCTGAAGCAGAAACTATCTGCTAAATCTGTGTCTTAAGCTCTGTTTTCTGGATGCAGAACCTGAGACAAGGATTCTTGCTCAATGGACTAATTGGGGGAGTGCCTTTGGAAGCAGGGGCATGAGAAGAATGAGGGCACAGGGCCAAGCCAGGATATGCTCTGAGCTGATGACCCCGCGGAAGCTCCAGACTACAAACTGCACCACAGAGTGCATCCCATTTTGGGGGCCTGGGGGAAGGGATAGCTGTATGCCCTTAGCAAGGTGCTGGAGATGGACTCAGACAGGCACCAGGTAAAGGGGATCCAAGCAGGATGCCAGCCTCATTCACTCCATCATGTCTCTACTAAATATAGGGAATAGGGGCTGGCACTGTGGTGTAGTGAGTAAAGCCACACCTTGCAGGGCCGGCATCCTTTATGGACGCTGGTTCAAGTCTTAACTGCTTCCACTTCCAATCCAGCTCTCTGCTATGGCCTGGGAAAGCAGTAGAAGATGGCCCAAGTCCTTGGGCCCCTGCACCACTGTGGGATACCTGGAAGAAGCTCCTGGCTCCTGGCTTCGGATCGGCTCAGCTCCAGTTGTTGCAGCCATTTGAGAAGTGAACCAGTGGATGGAAGACCTTTCTCTCTCTCCCTCTCTCTCTCTCTCTCTCTCTACCTCTCTGTAACTCTGCCTTTCAAATAGGTAAATTATGTGTGTATATATATATATATATATTTATGTACATACACATACATATATACATATATATACATATGGAATAAAATTTAGACAAGAGGCCTAAACATTTCAAGAAAGATGGGAGAGTGTTTCTCTTCCTGTAAGTAAAGAATTGTACAAATTCATTAGGCAAATGCATGCAAATGCTGGGCCACTACAGTCCTTATGTAACCTGGGGACTTGTTTACCCCCTAGATTACATGCTGCTCCTACTTTCACCTCAGTCTGTGTCCCCACTTCATCTCCACCAGACTCTCCAGGGAACAGGATACTCAGGGTTAACTGGATAGGCGCAGGATTTCTTTAGGATTACTGCAGACTACACTGAAACACCACGAACTCAGTTTAGGAATAACAGGGCATGTCCAAAAGAAAAGGATACAGAGAAACACATTCCTGTGTCATCAGTGACTAAGCCCATCACATCACAGTAAGGTTATCACTGTGACAACCAGTGTGTTGTCATTTTTTTTATTTAACAACATTTAACATTTTGCCATATTCACTTCATATGTTAACACTATATATATACATACATACATACTATTTTCTTGAAAGCAAGGGCAGACATCGTAATCACTCTTACAATAACATAAAGTAATCTTTTCAGAGTCAATAATGAATTGACAAAGAATAAACTCTAAAACAAATTTGTAAAATGCGATTATTTTTAAAGCCAGAGAATATTATCTCATAATCTGAAAAATTACTGTAAATTTGTGATAATGGGTCAATAGCATGAAAAAGGAAATCAAAGAACTATAAAGTATAGATGTCATCACCCATGAAAGTCTGCATACCTCACAACTGGGCAGCACTGAATCTTGGTCATCTAAATCCTTCAAAAGTTCAACCAGTCTTTTCTTCTCTTCATCAGTCATAACCACTAGGTCTCTTGAATTCTTGGCCAACTACAGAATGTATTAATGGAAAATACTAAACATTAAGAACAATTTAGAGTTCAAAAAAATAAACATGAAACCAGATACTCCTACAATACAGATATATTAAGGTAAAATTTGTAAGATTAGGCATTTTACATTTACTAGGTAATCTTATTTTGTGTCAAATTTTTTGTATAGGAACATTCTACAAATAAATATATTCCCATCATGTAGGTCCTCTCTTGTTAACCATTTCAACAACATTTAATTTTAAAATATAATAAAATGAGCAATTTTCAAAATGATATAAGAGACCTCTGAAAATTTATAAATATAGAATTAAAAGATAAATTTATTCTGGTGTAAAAAATTTTGATATCCATGCATACTTTTTTTATAGTACACACTTTCCATAAACTTAATATTTCTCTCATATGCAACACATTTTTAATGAAAATAAACTTAAGTTTTAACTCCATTTTCGTAAGCTTTTTGAAGTACTCTCATGTATATATACAGAGAAAGAGAAATGCATAAAGTATATATATAGATTTTCACAGGCAAAAATATATTTCCTAAGATATTCATAGAAATATTGGCACTTCTTCTGTGGTATATATCCAATAACTGAAACTGTTCTTAATTTGTTAGAGTTTTATTTATTTATTTACTTATTTGCTTACTTGAAAGGCAGAGTGACAGACAGAAAAAGAGAGACAGAAATCTTCTATCTACTGGTTCACCACCCCACCCCCAATACCCACGATAGCCAGGACTGGGCTAGGCTGAAGTCAGGAGTCAAGAACTCCATATGGGTATACTAGATAGGTAGCAAGAAACCTAGTACTTGGACTATCATTCACAACGTGTCACAGGCACATCAGCAGGCAGCTGGATCAGAAGTGGAGGCAGGACTCCATCTCAGGCACCCAATGTGAGATGTGGGTGTCTCAAGCAGCAGCTTAACTCAGTGCACCACAAATCCTACCCCTGAAACTACTTTTAAACTTCAAAAATATCATATGAAGAATTTAAATAAAGACTCTATTATTAAATAAAGTTACTACTGCTAAAAGGGATCATGGGAAATCTATAGTTGGACTGCTGTCCCTATCAGCAAGAAGTTGGATATGGAGGAAACTCTACTGCACGTGGAAACTAAGCAACAAATGAACATGCCATGGCCAGTACAAAACCAGAGACAGATCAAGTTGAAGAAGGCTTCCTGAAGAAAATCATAGGAAGATAGAAAACAGAAAAATCAAGAGCCTAGAGGCCAGTCCTAGCAGTGGCAGACTGACACAGGAATCCAGTATGCCTGGAAATAAGTCAATTATGTAAAAAACAATCAGATTTGAATTATGAGGAATTACTTCACTCTCTCCCCATATTAATACTTCACATTCACTAATGCAAGTGACTGGCTACCCAAGTGGTTTGCCATGAGCCTTCTGCCCAGCCCATTTATATTTCTTATTGCAAACTAATTAGCATGTGATCTAATACAGGAGCCCTGTGCCCTTGGTTAGTCTGAGTTTGCCTTGAAAACAAACGAAGTCAGTCTGTGGGACTTACAAGGTCAAGGAAGAACTTCTGTAGCCAGGAGCTAATCAAGGCCAGTGACCAGTTCCAGGAGGTTCACTAGGGTACAGTTGGCCAACTCCAGCTGCTCTGACAGGAGCATTTTTCCATTCGAAGTTCTGGATGCATGGGCTATAAAATCAGTCTTGTTATTTTATTAAAAAAAAACCAAACCTGATACTATGTAATTTAAGATCCAGGAAACATAGCCCATGCTATTATCTAAATAAATTATTTTCAGATTGCAAGAACTAAACTATGGTGGTGAAATCAATGTTAGTTTCCCCTAGCATTTTTTTTTTTAAGATTTTTATATCTGAAAGGTAGAATTACAGACAGGAAGAGACAGAGAAAGAGGTCTTCCATCCATTGGCCCACTTCCCAAATGGTCGCAACAGCTGGAGCTGGGCCAGACCAAAGCCAGGAGCTAGGAGCTTCTGAGTCTTCCACATGGGTTCAGGGACCCAGGGACCTGGGCCAATTTCTGCTGCTTTCCCAGGCACGTCAGCAGGGATCTGGATTGGAAGTGGAGCAGCCAGGAATCAAGCTGGCAGTCATACAGGATGCCAGAGTTGCAGGCAGCAGCTTTACCCGCTAAGCCATAATGCCGGCCCTCCTAGCATTTTAAAAAAGGATAGAATAGGAGCTTGCACTATGGCATACTAGGCTAAGCCTCTGCCTGTTGTGTCGGCATCCCCTAGGGGTGTCAATTGGTGTCCCGACTGCTCCTCTTAAGATCCAGCTCTTTGTTTATGGCCTAGGAAAGCCATGGAAGTGTGCTCAAGTGTTTGGGTCCCTGCACCCACATGGAAGAGCAGGAAGAAGCTCCTGGCTCCTGGCTCCTGGTTCCTGGCTTCGGATCAGCCCAGCTCTGGCTGTTGGGCCATTTGGAGAGTGAACCAGCAGATGGAAGGCCTCTCTCTGTCTCTCCTTCTCTGTAACTCCCTCTCAAATAATAAACAAAAAGTATTTTTAAAGGGAGGGGATAAGATTGGACAGGTAAGGATAGGATAGGATAGATCAGGATAGCAGAGGATAGCTCAAGTAGTTACGTCCCTCCCAACTATACCAGGAGACCTGGATTGAGTTTCCAGCCCCTGGCCTTGGCAGGGCTTGTATTTATGGAGTGAGACAGCAGATGGATAGGAATGCTCTCTGTCCCTGTTTCATTCCCTAAAATAAATGAATAAACAATAATTTTTTAAAACTGTTATGGAGGGGTCGGCACGGTGGCTCACTTGGTTAATCCTCCACCTGCAGCGCCGGCATCCCATATGGACACCGGGTTCTAGTCCCAGTTGCTCCTCTTCCAGTCCAGCTCTCTGCTGTGGCCCAGGAGGGCAGTGGAGGATGGCCCAAGTCCTTGGGCCCTGCACCCACATGGGAGACCAAGAGGAAGCACCTGGCTCCTGGCTTCAGATTAGTGCACTTCCAGCCATATGGGGGGTGAACCAATGGAAGGAAGACCTTTCCCTCTCTCTCTCTCTCTCTCACTGTCTATAACTCTACCTGTCAAATAAATAATAATTTAAAAAACTGTTATGAAATAGAAAATAGTGAAGTTAAAGTATTGGTTTATAAAATGTTTCCTTTAGTCATATATACTAATTCAATTATTAATAGATTTATCATGATCAAAATGTATTTACAGACACCGAGGGCACTATGGCGCACCAGGTTAATGCCCTGGCCTGAAGCGCCGGCATCCCATATGGGCGCTGGTTCTAGTCCCGGCTGCTCCACTTCTAATCCAGCTCTCTGCTATGGCCTGGGATAGCAGTAGAAGATGACCCAAGTCCTTGGGCCCCTGCACCCACGTGGAAGACCCAGAAGAAGCTCCTGGCTCCTGGCTTCGGATCGGTGCAGTTCTGGCTGTTGCAGCCAATTGGGGAAGTAAACCATCGGATGGAAGACCTCTCTCTTTCTCTCTCTCTCTCTCTCTCTCTGCCTCTCCTCTCTCTGTGTAACTCTGACTCGCAAGTAAAAAATAAATAAATCTTTAAAAAAAAAAAAGACACTGAACATACTATTACCATTTATGCAATTCAGTTAGTCCTTAATTCTGCCCTGGAATTTTCTCTTTACATACCTCAATGTTTCGCTTAATAAAATCCTGGTTGTGTTTACCCCTGAGTTCAGTCTTTTCTATATTTGAGAAAGGTTTCTTTTCAGCTTTGACCAATGAATCATTTCGTTCCACATCATGAGTAAAATCTAATATCAAAAAAGTTTGAAATTTTTTTAAGAATTATGGAGTATACAAAAAATTCACTCTAAGCATATATATTAAAATATGCAAGAAATAAAGCATACATAAAAAATTAGCAACTAAATCCAGATTCAGGAGCCTAATGTCTAGAGATACTTCTCTTAAAAAGATAAACCATAACGTCCACTGAAATCTTCTTAAAACTTCTTGAGTTATTCATTATCATGTATTAATCTTCCTGCTGTTGATGCCTTAGGAATGATAGAAAATATAAACAGAAATTCAAGGTATATACAGAAAGAATAAATCACTGATGTAATGGGGATTTTAAGATATGTAATTTTTTTTTAGTCTTTATGAAACAAAACTTTTCCTTAAAGACTATCGTTACTTCCTGCTAGTCTATTAACTTGCTAACACTCTTTCTGAACAATACTTTTTACTCAAGCTTGTCTTTTAAGAAAGGCCTGGGAATATGTGTCCTGGATGTTCTAACTCTCATATGTACACACTCCCACAGGACATCTCAGTTTATCAGTTTTACTCAATCTTTGAGAAGAGGCTCAAGTAAACCTTTAAGATCCTCTGACCCTGAGGGCTCAAAGCAAGGATAAGAAAAGTACTTGTGGGGGCCAGTGTTGTGGTGTGGCAGGTTAAGCCTCTGCCTGTGACACCAGCATCCCATATGGGTGCCAGTTCATGCCCTAGCTGCTCTACTTCTGACCTAGCTCTCAGCTAATGCACCTGGGAAAGCAGCAGCAGATGGTCCAAGTACTTGGGCCCTTACACTCATGTAGCAGACACAGAAGCAGCTCCAGGCTCCTGGATTCAGCATGGCACAATCCCAGCCTTTGTGGCCATCTGGGGAGTGAACCAGAGGATGGAAGATTCTCTCTCTCTCTCTCTCTCTCTCTCTCTCTCTCCCCCCCCCCTGTTTCTCTTTAATGGCATTTCAAATAAATAACAAATAAACCTTTTAAAAAACAAAGAGGACTCATTCATTTGAATAAATACCTTGTATTTACTATATCACCATTAAAGCTTTTAAAATAGGTCATCTAAATTGAAAATGAATCTTGATGTGAATGGAATGGGAGAGGGAGCGAGAGATGGGAGGGGTGTGAGTGGGAGGGAAATTATGGGGGGGGGGAAGCCATTGTAATCCATTAACTGTACTTTAAAAATATATATTTACTAAATAAAAAATAAATAAAAAAAGAAATATCCAAAAAAATAGGTCATCTAAACCTTCATTACTCTATACTTAGTGTGTCTGTGTGGATGCAGTCTGTTGAAATCTTTACTTAGTATATACTAAGTTGATCTTCTGTATTTAAAGATAATTGAAAATGAATCTTGATGAAGAATGGGATGGGAGAGGGAGTGGGAGAAGGGACAGTTGCGGGTGGGAGGGAGGTTACGGGGGGAAAAGCTGCTATAATTCAAAAGTTGTACTTTGGAAATTTATATTTATTAAATAAAAGTTGGAAAAAAGAGAAGAATCTCCTTAAATGACAAATGGAGATCACCCTACAAAATAGGACAACTTGCCACATTAAAGTCCAAAACGAAAAAAATATGTCAGTAGCTCAATCTAGACAAGGTTTATTAGGTTCAGTAACCACAGTAAAAAGGAGTAAGAGAGATATTCATTTGGTATATTTATAACTATTTATCAAACATTTAATAAGTTTAAACATTAAGGAATAAAGTTTGGTGAAAACAGCTGGAAATAATCAGGAAAAGAATAAAATCTCTAGATTTAAATTCATTTCAAACAAAACTAAATTCAAATAAAGACCACTCACATTTAAGTTGTAAGTTTTTAGGCAAATAATTCTGTTCTTTATAATTGGGTTTTTTATTTTATTTTATTATTTTTTTATTTCTTTGAGAGATAGAGAAACACAGACAGAGAGCTTCTGTCCGCTGGTTCACTCTTCAAACGCCATGTCAGCCTGGGCTGGCCCAGGACAGAAGCAGGGAGCTGGGAGCTCAGTCCAGCTCTCCCATGCGAGTACCAGGAACCCAATTACTTAAGCCATCATCTGCTGCCTCTTAGGGTCTGCAACAGAAGGAAGCTGTTGGAAATCAGAAGCCACAGCCAATAATAGAACCCAAGCACTCCATTGTAGGATGCAGACATCTAAACCACTAGATTAAGTGCCCTCTCCAGAGGCTTTGATTTTTAACAAATCACGTAATATTTTAAATTAACTACCAATAGTTAGAGCATGAGTTACCTTCTTCATGCATGGCTACCTTAGATTTAAAATATATCATTTTTGCCATAATTTGTTACATAGCTTTTTTAATTAAAATATGAGGTTTAAGTTGATATTTCATAATAAATTAACAAATATATTAAAATAATTCAAATTAAATACAGCCACACCCACACTTATGATAGTTTCATTTTTCTTTTATTATTTTCAGATACTTTTCCAGTTGAATTTGCAAAAATGATTTTAATAACGAACTTTTTAACAAAATCATATACTAAAAACTGTTTATGCAGAAAACTCAGGAAACACAGTGACCTGTTCATTGTGAAAGACTTTAAACTACAGTATTATAGTATAAAAAAAAACAGGAAATAGACAATACCTGAAAAAACTAATGCAACATTGGATTCAAAACACACTTGCAATAAATTGTGAGGAAAAAACATTGGATTATATGGCCAGTATTGTCTCTCTAGCAATAATTTTCTTCTCCTCCCCAGTTTAGTGGTGATATAGCCAAGCTGTCATATTCCTATAGTGACCCCAACCTTTGCTGCACTGGACAAGTTGGTGGAAGTAATCCAAGCTGAGTGGTTTGGTCTCTTCTCTAGGATTGTGGAATTGAGCCTCCCTATCAATGACTAAAATAAGTTGATACCACTAAGATCTTTTCCATATTTTTTTTCTTAAGGTAGGATTCCATTACTTGCAGCCAGCTGCTTTTTATTACCATTAAAGAGAGAGAGTGAGTCAGGGAGAGAGACACAGAGAAAGAATTTCTATCCCCTCTTCACTCCCCAAATGCCCACAGTAGCTAAAGCTGAAGACAAGAGACCAAAACTCAACCCAGGTATCCCACCTGCATACCAAGAACCCAATCAGTTGAGCCACACTGCTGCTGCATTGGTAGGTAGCTGGAGTCAGTACCCAGAGCTAGGAATGAATCCACCCAGGTACTCTGATGTGGGATACAGGCATCATAACTGCTAGGTTAAATGTCCACTCTATTAACTCTTTATTACACAAAATATCAAACATCCAAATGTAAAGAGAATGGTATAATGAATTCTCAACAGTTAGCTTCAACACTGATGAACTCATAACCAATCATGTGTGATCCTGAACCCCACCTACTCCTACTCACACTTCTGAATTAAATTACATCAACTCACTCCACTCATAGATATTTCTGTGCATGGGCAGCATTCCTGTGACAATATGTATAACCACACAAAGTAGAACATACCTTGGTTGACACTGTGCATATGGTTTTCATATTCTTCTGGAGGGACTTGAGTGTGAAACACTGGGAAAAACGTGCCTTCATCCTCATAATGAGAAGGATCTATCAATTTAAAAAATCATTTTTTCAATATTCACTAAATAAATATCTACAGTTATAAAAAAAGAGATAAGATCTGATATTCTCTCCAGTATATGCCAATTCCTTCAACACACACAAATTTGGTCTTTAAAAAAAATCTATTTATTTATTTAAAAGGCAGAGTTACAGAGAGGCAAAGGCAGAGGTGGCGGCAGAGGCAGAAAGGAAGGAAGGAAGGAAGGAAGGAAGGAAGGAAGGAAGGAAGGAAGGAAGGAAGGAAGGAAGGAAGGAAGGGTGGGTGAGTCTTCCACCCACTGGTTCACTAACCAGAAACCAGGAGCTTCTTCCAGGTTTCCCACACAGGTGCAGGGGCCCAAGGACTTGGGCCATCTTCTACTGCTTTCCCAGGCCACAGCAGAGAGCTGGCTCAGAAGTGAAGCAGCCGGGACATGATAATTCATTAATTACAAGAGGGAAAAACAGTAACTTTACAGTGAAGAAAGCTGATAGGCACTATCTTAACCAAGTACTAAAGTCAACATCAAGATAATGGGGTAATCAATATCAATTATTTCCTGTAATGGTCCATACAGAAGCACACAGTGTCACTTCTGTGAAATTCTTGCCAAAACCCATGACCTGAACCTACCATGCAGAAACTACCCAAACTGGAGGACATTCTACAACACAATAGGCTTGTGGCTTCTAAAATGCCAGTGTCATAAGACACAAGAAAGAATAAAGAGAAATGACAACTGAATGCAATACATGATCTGTGATTTCTTTTGCTGATGTTAATCAGACATCTGGAAAAAATCTGATACAGATTAAACAATAATATTGTAACATTTTCAGAAATAAATATTAACATTGATTTACATGTATACCTGTGTGTGAGAGAGATCGATCAACCTTATGTGCCACTTGTATGGAGAGGGGAGGGGGAAAGAAAGATCAAAGCAGACAGAGGAGGAGGATGTGGTAAGACGTTAACATTTGAAGAAGCTGGATAAAGGGTATCTGAGAATTTTTTGTACTTTTCTTGCAACTTTAAATCTAAATTATGTCAAAATAAAACACTAAGAGGAAAATTTTAAGTCTCCTCACTACAAACATCTGTGAGAAAAAAACATCTTCCTTCAGAGATCAAAATAAGAGTCTGAGGACCAAGCCCTGAAAGAGGAAGACTACAAGTTATTTGTTTCCAGCCACTTTAGGAATAGATTAAACCTATCCCAGGTAAGGGGGGAGGACTTACAAGAGCATCAACTTAGAACCAATGATACCAGTGTGAGGGTGCTCCCCTGCACACATCTCCCCAAAGTGAACAGAGATCCATATCAGACGGCAGAACCCAGAGCAGCTTGGGCTGTGCTACACTGCACACCTGGAACTCCAGGAGGAGACGGGGCACACAGTGCTCTCCATCAGCAAGGCCGTATGTGTTTAGAGGGAGACAAGGCCTGACGCAGTCACACACCTGTACACATGATTCACAATAGTTGGCCTGTGGCATGGAGGAGACCAGAAGTTCTTACATGCCCTGTGGACTAGAAGAGGCCTGGGATCATGATGAAAGGGTGAGGCAGAAAGGGCAGAAAGCAGACCTCAACAACCAAACAGCATGACAGGGCCCATGGATATCAGTAGCAGCTGCTGGCAGGTGACAAAAGGTTAAAGGTGACAAGCCACAGTCAGCAAAGGCCCAGGCTAGTTTATAGACACAGATCAAGCAGGACAAGACACTTCTAAGAGAAGAACAAGGACCAGAAGCACCCTTTCCCCAACTCCACCCCAGTGATACCAGGATGCTCCACAATTCTCATGAGCAGAGATATCTCCCTGAGAAATGAGAAGGATAACAGGAACATGAGATGCAAAGAAATTCTAGATAACTTAGCATTTATCTGAAAGAAACCAAGCTAATCTGAAAGATACTAGGTATTAAACCAGAAATGATTTCCTTGAATGTTTTCTCCTCTACAGAGTAGAGACGGAGGTTCATCAATAATCTGAGTCCCAAAAAGGAAAGACAGCCTCATGCCAGCATATTTGAGTTACACTGTATAACCTTTAAACTCATTACACAAGCATCTACTGGCAGAATCTGAGAGCAGTGGCACCATGCAAATGACAGAAATGGATAGAGAAGAGCAATCAGTGGCCAGGAGCTTGTTGCATCTAGAACCCAGACAGACCTGGGTCTAGAAGGAAAGCTGACCACCACTTAATGCCCCATGATACAGAGGTTAAGGGAAGGGAGAAACCAGAAAATCAGAGTCATTTCTTGAGCACTTGCACTGCATCTTGAGGCTGTCCACGTGCTGTTACCCAGCTACTGCCATCCTCTTCCTACAGCCATCCAGACGGCAACTCCTGAGAAAACACCCAGACAGCCTATAAGCAGAGATGGGCAATGGAGATGTACCCCTGCAAGCAAATCCTTGTTGGGACAGAGATACGATGCTAAGAGATAGGATGCTAAGAACTCTGAAAGTTGAAGTTGTACTTGTACTCAGAACTACATCTGTCACAGGTATCAAAATCCCAACCAGTACAGCAAAGTCTCAGTGGTGAATGTCACTTGAAGTTGGAATGGAGTGAGTCATAGCAACCTGCCAGCATCCAGATGGACAGTGAGCAGACCCAAAGCAAATGCACCCTTACACTCTGTTGGCAAACACCAGGTGTGGATGGATTTCACCTCATTTGAAGATAAGGAAACAGATGGGGAAAACAGAAAATGAAAATGAAACAGCATCCTGGCCATCAGTGGAAAAGCAAACATTTTGAGAATATTTATTATAAAATTTCTGAAAACTCTTTGGCACCCTCAATATATCAGAACACACGACATTTCCTAAACTATAGGAGAAAATCACAAGGAGAGTGCTAATATAAAAAAGAGGATGTGGGCCCACACTGTGGCATAGCGGGTAGGGCCACTGCCTGCAGTGTGGGCATCCCATATGGGCGCCAGTTTGAGTCCTGGCTGCTCCACTTCTGATCCATCTCTCTGATATGGCCTGGGAAAGCAATGGAAAATGGTCTAAGAGCTTGGGCCCCTGTACCCACGTGGGGAACCCAGAGGAAGCTCCTGGCTCCTGGCTTCAGATTGGCACAGCTCCAACTGTTGCGGCCATCTGGGAAGTGAACCAGCAGGTGGAAGACCTCTCTCTCTCCCTCTCTTTCTCTCTGCCTTTGCCTCTCTTTAGCTCTTTCGTTCAAATAAATAACTAAATAAATCTTTAAAAAAAAAAAAAAGAGGAAAGTTACCAAGCCTAACTTCAGTGTCACCTTGAATACTCCCTCACCCTGGAGTACAGAACTGAGTTCTCTGGCCACACCCACAACATGGCTCTGGGTATTCACTGGAAGAACAGACACTCCACTAAAGCCACAGAGGCATAGTCCAAAGATAAAAGCCATCACAGGGGAAAAAAAGCCCAACAAGTATCTCCACAAATGCCTAAAAATAAACACAGCAATTCAGAAACAAGAATAAGGAAGAAAACATGACGCCCCCAAAGGAACACAATAACACTTCAATATTAGAATGTAAAGATGAAGAGACAGAAGAAATGCCAGAAACGAAATTCAAAAATTGATTGCAGAATTACTTATAATTAATCAGAAGCAACTCCACGAGTTAAAGAAATTCATACATCTCATGAATGAAAATTTCTCCCATGAAATTCAGATTTTAAAGAGAAACCAAAATGAAATATTGGAAATGGGTGCCAGCGCTGTGGTGCAGCAGGTTAACGCCCTGGCCTGAAATGCCGGCATCCCATATGGGAACCGGTTCTAGTCCCAGCTGCTCCTCTTCCAATCCAGCTCTCTGCTGTTGCATGGGAAAGCAGTGGAGGATGGCCCAAGTCCTTGGTCCCCTGCACCCACATGGGAGACTGGGAAGAAGCACCTGGTTCCTGCGTTTGGATTGGCTCAGCTCTGGCCGTTGCGGCCATTTGGGGAGTGAACCAGTGGATGGAAGACCTTTCTCTCTGTCTCTCCTTCTCACTGTCCATAACTCTACCTCTCAATAAATAAATTAAATATATATATATATATATATTGGAAATGAAGAATTCAATAGATCAAATTAAAAATGTGGTAGAAAATCTTAGACTCAGTAAGGCAGAAAAAAGAATATCTGAGTTAGAAGACAAAACTCTGGAAATTTTACAGCCAGACCAAAAAGAAAAAGAAAAAGAAATTAGAAAACTAAAAAATAGTGCTGGAGATTTGTAGGATACTATCAAATGACCCAACACACTGGTCTTAGGAGTTCCTGAAGGTATGGAAAGAGATAATGGATTAAAAGGCCTTTTCAGTGAAATAATTACAGAAAACTTCCCGAATTTGAACAAATAAAGGGACATCCTAGTATATGAAGCACACAGAACTCCTAACAGACATGACCAGAAAAGATCTTCACCCCGACAAAATGTAGTCGAACTTTCCACAGTAAAACATAAAGAAAAGATTTTAAAATGTGTGCAAGAGAAATACCAGATTACTTTCAGAGGATCTCCAGTTAGCCTCACAGCAGACTTCTCACCAGAAACCCTACAGGCTAGGAGAGAATGGCGAGATATATTCCAAGTCTTAAGAGAAAAAAACTGTCAACTCACAATACTATATCCTGCAAAGCTCTCATTTATGGATGAAGGTGAAACAAAGACCTTCTATAACAAACAGAAATTAAAAGAATTTGTCACCACTCCTCCAGCCTTACCAAAGATGCTTAAGGATGTACTACACACAGAAACACAGAAACACAGTCATCACTATGAAAGAAGGTAAGGCAGAAAATCTCCCACTAAAAGTACAAAGGAAAGCCAAAGTAAAAAAAAAAAAATAGGAATATTTATGGAAAAATGGGAGGGCCAAGTTGTTATTTATCAAGTGTCACCTTGAATATAAATGGCCTCAGTTCTCCAGCTAAAAGATACAGACTGGCTGAATGGATTTAAAAAGACCCACCTATTTGCTGCCTACAAGAAACACATCTCACCAAC